CAGGGGCCCGGCGGCGCTCCCCGGCCTGGGCCGGCGCAGGGGCTCTGCGGCAGGGCGCCGGCAGGCTTAGGGGGGGCCTACTGACGGCACTCGGAGAAGCTTTAAAAAAACCCTAAAAATAACATGAAAATTCAATACTTCTTTAACATATAGTGACTTGTTTCTTTAAAAACGATAACATGAGAAATAATTGTATCACTCTTTTAAAGTTAAATTAATGAGCCTGCATGTCGGTTTCAGAGAAAACACAAATGAAAAGTTGGATTTGCATTTATTTATTTGTGAGAAGCCTCTACTGGCAGTAAAATTAGTTGCTTTTTGTAGCCATGCTAGTCAGAGGGGAAAAAATTGTAAACTGACACTTCAAAAATAAGGAAACTGTTAATTATTAAGTAAAATACAAAACATTCAAAAGTGAGTATTTGAAAAACATAATTTATTTAAACATTTGGTTTTTTCAGTTTTCTCACTTGTAATTAAGACATTACTGCTCTCAGGGAAATGTCTTAGTCAATGTTGTTTTTTGAGCATGGTACATACTTTATCAAAGAGTAGGTAACAGTTAAATAAATACCTGGAATGTAATTCAGTACCTTTGTAATCTATAATATGCATAATTGATTATTGTTGAATACCAGTAGTTGATTACACGGCTATTGAAAGGAATTCAGTAATTCTAAATATAATTTTATGTAGAAAAATAAAGTAACTACCTCAATACAACACCGTTCTCATTGACTGCAATAGGTTTCTTTATTGTCACAGAAAACCACACGTTAAACTGTTAAAAATGGAAAATGACAATGAGAAAATTTATAATATGTAAACATAAATTTAATAATTTTTATTTACAGCTAGTAAATTTTAATTTGCTTTAAATGCGTATGTTAATTAAGACACGTATTTCACCAGCTACTTACACAATTAGCACTATTTTGTTTGATGCTGGTGGTAGCAGGAAATTTGGAATGATGCCTACTGCTACAGCTGTTCGCAGACCTTATATAACACCAGATGTGAGATTGATGTCTCTGTATTTTGTCCTCTCCTGTGAATTGCAAGTGATCAAACAGGCAAAAAACCATAGTGACAGGATGATTAGACAAGTTTAGCAGGAAGGGAATTGTTCAAGACATTCATAAATTACTGCACAACCACACACATGCAGTAATGGAAAATGTATTTATTGTAACTTCACAGATATGCAAAAACACATATATCTAAAATTAATCTGAGATACAAGCTTATTAAATACGGAAAACTCCTTTGACATTATCTTACACACACCATCAAGGTAAAAGCAAACAAAACATGCTTTTGGTTTCACAGATGTATTTTTATTATTAAAACATTCTCCTATAAATGTTTTACAAACTCTGCTGTGAAATACAGATACTAGAGCAAGTAGTCACCTATTTAAGTGTAGCTGTATTGTAAAAGAAGTGTGTTGATAAAAGCTGTTAAAGCATCAGCCATACTTTGCTTTTTCTGTTGCCAGAGCCAATCTGCGAATGTTTGCTATGCAACCAGCTGCTGCCTCCTGTAGAGTTTCGTCTGTAGAGCCTACCATAGCCAGTAGGAGCTAGTAAAAATACAAAAGAAAAACTGCGTAAGAAAAACAAATAGGTATGCTATTATGCATATAATATTCAAATCTTATATACAACAATTGTACAAATTTACTCACACATATATAGAAAAATAAAATGCTAAAAATTATTTTAACCAAAAATCTTGTAAATTAAGATATACAGACACAATGCTTTAAGTTTTATCATATTTATACCTGCCACTTCATATTTTCATACCTGATTTTCTGATTATCTTATTATATCTGTCCATCAGTTCTTACTTGGATTTTTTTTCTTGTGAGTAGAAATTGCACATGCTTTAATTGAAATCATGATTTCCCCCTCAAGGCATACCAGTATCTTTGTACACGCTCAAGATTTTTAACAAACAAAGCCATGCACTTTTTTTTTTTGGCCTTGACCTTGAAACTGGATCCACGTGAATGGGCCCTCATGTCCCATTGACTGCAATAGGTTTCTTTATTGTCACAGAAAACCACACATGTTAAACTGCTTGAGGGATAACGGTCTGGGCATATCATTCTTAAATATTTGCATGTAAGAGTAAAAAACAACAAAGTTCAGCAAAGGCCCCAAACTTCTGGAGCTGATTCAGCTCTTCAGTCACGTGGAGCAGATCCTCTACTCTGGAAGCCATTCAACTTTTTCAGCGGAAGTTCCCTTGGAGTAAGGCACTGTTCAACACAAGTATGACATAAGAGAGAGCTTGATGATGAGAAAACGTTTTTACGTATCCGAAAATCATTAAAAACGGTTTTGGGGCTTGCTTTCTTAGTGTGTTGCAAGCTAGTGATGCAACTGCAACTGCAATATATGCTGGAAAACAGAAGACTTGCTTCGCTTAGATCAGCTCCGTGAAATCCTCAGACTTCTGAAAATCTGCCAAACTTAATGTGAGTTCAGGTATTGTGAAGCTCAGACAGCTCTAATTAAAACCTATATTTTCAGTCTGCAATACTTAGGATTCTGTGTTCACCCAAACAATGTTGAATCAAACCACAAAAAAATCTGTTATCACTCAACTCCAGTGCATATTTTTCATACGGCTAAAATATTACATAAAATTATGAACTGCTAAATATAAAAGCATAAATTGAAGGCAGACATCAAATTCATATGCTACCTTTTTCTAACCTTCTAGCAATCATGAGGCACGGGCCACAGCTGCACACATATGGCATTTGCTTATAGAGATCAAAGCATTTTATACTTGAGGAAGTATTTGTGTTAGCCAAATGTACAAAATAAGCATCTTGCCAGTCACCTTTTACTCTTTGACCCCTATGTGTAACTCGTAAGATTGCCTGTAATATGCCTGAATTATGTCAAAAAGAGCCTTATGTAAATTAAGCATTGATGATAAATTCTTCTAGCCATTCTTCTTCCTATAATTTCCGTTAATGTAATCAAACGTCTATGCACAAATAGCTAGATGAGAACTCTTAAAGTGTGAACGCTTGTGAAAGGACATATCACAGTCAAAATAGAGCGGTAAATGATATGAGAAAGCTTTCTATTTTTGTATTTTATTTGTATGCAAAATCTAGGTCGAGTTAAGCAGACAGCAAAGTCAGTGGAAGTTTCACCTCTGATTTCAACAGGGGACAAAACCAAGTTGTACATCTCTGTGTAACGATAAAGCTGCTTTACAGCGCACAAGAGCAAGAACGCAAGTCTTATCAGACTGTTCACTTTTTTTTGAAATAAATATTGCTGGATGAATATCCTTCTTCCTTTTTAAAAATTTCCACAGTTGATTTCTCATCACCTTAAACTGTAAAGCGTCTCTTTGGGTACCTCACAACGTTCTTGTAGAACTTACAGAGGAAAACTGATATAGAGCCTTCGTATCCCTGACTCAAAACCAAAAACATGTATGTACATACCATACATCCGGTATTTTGGTAAAGCCATAAGTTTCAAATTTTGGAGCAAGGAGACCATATGCCTTATGTGATTACTCACTGTATCTTCACAGACCTAGTGCAAGGCTTCTTCAGTGTAGTGAGTGTGGAACCCAAATCTTCATAATAACTTCAACACGATACTTGTTATTAATTCATAAGAGCAGAAGTTCATCATGAAGTTAATGTTCTGGAGATACGTTATGTAGTAGAAATATAGTAAAAAGCAAAAATAAATCTGCCTCTGCTATGTCTACATACGATATGCAGACCTCAGTTCAAGGTTATTTTTTCCTTCTTTTAGTCACCATTTGTTTCTAGGCTCAGAAGACTTTGGAAAACAGATACTTTTTTGACACTTTCCACGGCAAGTTCAATATTAAGCAACCACAGTGGTAGGAGGGGAATCTATGCAGTTTACTTTGGACTGCAGTAGGCATTTCAGGTGCATTTCAGAGAATCAAAGTTAGATATCCAAGAACAGCAGCTCTTACAGGCCAGTGATTCAAAACACCTAATTACATGTCTAAGGAATAGGTGATATGAATGCCACTAATGCAAACAGCAATTTTTATGAAGATATTAAAAACTAGGCTTTTTTCCATTCTGGGTTTGGTGGGGCAAGGAGCAGTCACTCTCTAATTGGTTTTTCTTTTAAGTCACTTGCCAGTGGTAACATCCAGAAGAACTGCCACATTGTACAATATCCCATATTACGTTGTGTCTCAGGATTTTCACAATATGACTTCAAAGAAATATTCTTGGAAGCACAGTCCAACACAGTAGCTGCCTCTGGGGATGGAGGATATAGAGCAACATTTGTCAGTCAACTTACTCCATGTGCTAACAATGAGGCAACTGAAGAGATGAATAGCAAAAATACAAAATGTTTCAATGTAAGTAGATAATTCCATATTTAGGAATTCCATCTCTGAAGATTTCGATATAAATGCTGTTACTATCTTTGTCTTAAATGACATAAAATTTTATCCTTTTCTTATATATCAACAAAGTTGTAATTCCTTCAGTTCCTGACTGCTACTCCTTGATCCTTTTGTGGGTTTAGTCCAATTCACTGGCAATTTGGGTTATCCAATTCAGATATGGAAATGCATTCATAGATGGTATACATGGATCATCTACCCATATTACATATATTTGACAAGTCCAAGAAATCTTTTTTTTTTTTTGATTCTGATGCATCAATGTAATATAACATGTCCTTTCTCTTGATGCAATGCCCTTGAACTTCATTTATCCCTTCCCTTTACTGTTCAGGTATTATTTTCTGACACATGTAAACGTTAACAGATGTGAGAAGCAGTAGAAAAGCATGTGGTATAAATGCTTATTTCTGGCATATAAAAGGCACTTTCCATAGACAGAGAAAGCATTTGCAGTACTATGTAGACTTCATTTTCAGTTGGCAGGTATCTATATTCTAAGGCAAGAGTCCAAAATTTTTTGCACAGTTAGCACGTCATACCAGCAAATAAGCACAAATACAAGCTGTTTGGAGAACATACAGAGCGTATGTAGCATTTATGGGTTCCAAAAGCAAAAGTAATGCACAGCCAAATCATCTAAATATTCACAACAATTAAGGAGATGTTGATATTGTTAGCATAGCTTTAGAATAGCACAGAACAGAGTGACTGTATTAGGACTGTACAATCATAGAATATGCAGAATACGCAGATTGGAAGGGATCTTAGGAGGTCTCTAGTCCAACATCCTGTTCAAATCAGAGTCAGCTATGAGGTCATACCAAATTCATCAGGGCTTTATCCAGTCTGATCCTGAAAACTTCCAAGGATGGAGACTGCACAGCCTCTCTGCACAACCTGTTCCAGTGCTGGACTGTCCACACGGAGGAAAAGCTTTTCCTTGTATTCAGTCTCTTTTGTTTTGATTTGTGTCTGTTGTCTCCTATCCTCCTGCCTTGCATGACTATGAAACTCTCGGCTCCATCTTCTTCACTTCCTTGTAGGTATTAGAAGGCTGCTATTAGGTCCCCTTGAAGCTGATGCTTCTCCAGGCAGAATAAGCCCAGTTTTTTCAGCTTCTCCTCACAGGGCAGGTGATCCAGCCCCCCAGCCATCTTGGTGGCCCTCCACTGAACTTGCTCTAGTTTATTCATGCCTTTCCTGTTTTGGGGGGGGGGAGGCTTAAAACTCATTGTGCTAGTCTAGGTTCAGTCCCATGAGTACTGAGTAAAGGGCAAGACTCACTTCCCTCAATCTACTGACTCTTGTTTCTGCTGTATTAGCGGTATCCCGTTAGTCGTCTTTGCTGTCAGGACATACTGGTGGTTCATGTTCAGCTTGCTGTCCACCAAAATCTTCTTGTCCTTTTCAGCAAAGCTGCTCCCCAGCCAGTCAGTCCCCAGCCTGTGTCACTGCAAGGGGCTCTTCCCCTGTAGGTGCAAGACTGCATTGGTTCTTTTTGAATTTCATAATGGTATTGTCAGCCCATTCCAGCCCTGTCTGGGTATCCCTGAAAGGCAGCCCTGCCATCGAGCGTATTGACAGCTGCCCCTCTCCTCGCCCTGCCTTGCAATCTGATATCACTGCAAAGACTATAAGCACTCCATTGCCTTCCCCAAGTCACTGGTAAACACGGTAAATGGGACAGACAGGTATCAGTAGAGAGCCCTGTGATACCTTACTCCACTTGTTACTGGCAACAGGTAGAGCACGATTCATTAACCATTACCCTCTGAGCTGGATCCTCCTATCAGTTTTTTATACTTCTGGTTGTCCACCCATCTAGACTGTAAAACATCCTAACTTGGACAGAAGTACATTGTGGGAAACTGTTTTGAAAACCTTGCTAAAGTCAGGGTAAATGACACCCACTGCTCTCCCCTCATTCACACACCTAGTCACTTTATGATTGAAGATAATCAGGTTGCTCAGGCATGATTTACCTTTGGTAAATCTATGGTGACTGTTCCCAGTCATCTGCTTCTCTTTCGTGAGCCCAGAAATGTGCTCCAAGAAAACTAACTCCATAATTTCCCCAGGGACCAAAGTGAGGCTGACCAGCCTGCAGTTTCCCAGACTGTTGGCAGGAACTGCTGCTCT